TGCATACTTTCACCTCCATAATATTAATCACCTTTGTTTGTCTCTCACACCTTCTAGTACTGCTATTCTTGTACATGCTATGGTCACATCTCGTACTGATTACTGTAATTCCATCCTGTCTGGTCTCCTTCTCAAGCTCCTCCATTAGCTTCAGTTGGTTCACAATGCTGCTGCTTGTATTATTACTAGGACCCCCTACATAGCACACATCACTCCTGTTCTTCAGTAATGTTGTTGGCTTCCTGTCAGATATTGTACTGAAACCAAGATTTTACTGTTAACCTCCATATCACTCTGATTTTTGCTTATTCATACCCCCTCCCATACTCTCATTGTGCCTGCTTCTTGCCTGACCACCATGGGGTTCTGGGCCTTTATTCATGCTGCCCCATGTCTTTGGATCTCTCTTCCTCCTGATATCCATGGTACCGACTGTCTCTCTACATTCAAATCTTGGCTTAAAACTCACCTTTATACAATTGCCTATTCGCTTTAATTTCCCTACTTAGGCAGCTTTTAATGGATTTGATTTATGGTAATTTTGAATATTTGTATGCATGCATATATGTACAGATGTTGAAGTATGCATGCATATTGTGTTGGCTGTGTTTTGTAAGGTGTCCTTGAGTGCCTTGAAAGGCACCTTTAAATAGAATGCATTATTTTTTATTATTAAAATTGCATTGTGGATTAGGCTTGACCCATATTAACATTATCATTAACCTGTCTATTTATGAATTCATGAATAAATGTAAATGATCCTCTTAACCTATTTATTTACTTTGTCTTGATGCTTACAATAAAAAAAACTGGTGGTGTAATGGTTCTGAAACTGAGACTGAAATCGCAATACAAGCGTTTACAATCTCATGTTGCGGTTCTGGAATACAGGTCCGTAGTATCCCCCGAAATGGAACCCTAGCCCATTGCCACAGGTGCAGCCTGTTGAGCTCTGAATTACATTATTAATGTTACAAAACTCATTTTTCATTTCACATTTAATACTATAACACATGTGAATCTAGAAATTATTATTCTATTTAATGTTAGGGCAACTGTATATTTTGTTAACTTCACACATTACACCTATTTTATTGCCTTCCAACTGCGTATGTCATGTGACTATTTTGGTGACTGACATGATTGAATAATCATGCTGCAGTAAAATCTAGGTTAGTTATTAGCTCAAGATAATAATCCTGAGATTGCAGAGCACCTGGGCACTTTCAAATCAGTGGTGTGGGAACATCTTGGTTATATAGTATAGTATTTTAAGTTAATATAACTGTAGCATTCTTTTGTTTAGTGTTCTATATTGTTGGTGATTAAGGATTTTTTTCTCATTTTCTGTACCTGCTTGTCCAGTTAGCACCTCACCCAGACACTTAGCACCTCACACAGTCAGTTAGCACCTCACCCAGACAGTTAGCACCTCACCCAGACACTTAGCTCCTCACCCAGACAGTTAGCACCTCACCCAGTCAGTTAGCACCNCCCAGACAGTTAGCACCTCACCCAGACACTTAGCTCCTCACCCAGACAGTTAGCACCTCACCCAGTCAGTTAGCACCTCACCCAGACAGTTAGCATCTCACCCAGACAGTTAGCACCTCACCCAGTCAGTTAGCACCTCACCCAGTCAGTTAGCATCTCACCCAGACAGTTAGCATCTCACCCAGACAGTTAGCACCTCACTCAGACAGTTAGCACCTCATCCAGACACTTAGCACCTCACCCAGACACTTAGCACCTCACACAGTCAGTTAGCACCTCACCCAGACAGTTAGCACCTCACCCAGACAGTTAGCATCTCACCCAGACAGTTAGCATCTCACCCAGTCAGTTGGCACCTCATCCAGACACTTAGCACCTCACCCAGACAGTTAGTATCTCACCCAGTCAGTTAGCATCTCAGCCAGACACTTAGCACCTCACACAGTCAGTTAGCACCTCACCCAGACAGTTAGCACCTCACCCAGACAGTTGGCACCTCACCCAGTCAGTTGGCTCCTCACCCAGTCAGTTAGCTCCTCGTCCAGTCAGTTAGCTCCTCGCCCAGTCAGTTACCTCCTTGCTCAGTCAGTTAGCGCTTTGCCTGGACAGTTAGCGCTTTGTCTGGACAGTTAGCACCTTGCCAGTCAGTTAGTGCCTTGCCCAGTCAGGAAAGCACTTTGCCTGGTCAGTTAGTGCCTCACTCAGTCATGCTATCGCCCTGCACTACCTGAAATCCCCCCAACATCTCTAGGCAGCCTCTTTATTCATTGGGTACGACCCTGAGGGGTTCCTGCTGCAGCTGTAACTGCCCAGCTGCTGGTCCTCCTGCTGTTGCCATGGTGACAGCATCCCGTGGGTCATGCGGGATGGCGTCTCTGCCAGGGGGCCGGCCTGCCACACAGCTCCGCCTCCTTCAGCTTGTGCCTTCTTCACACACAGAGCTGTGAGTACTTCTGGCTGGGTCCTGAGGAGGAAGCTCATAAACCGCTATGCTGCTGCCCCATGGAGCCAGGAGGGAGAAGCGCACACCCCCCATATGCACTTATGACCCAAACAGGCATAGCCATACATATCTGCAGGAGCAGGCCTGTTACCCAGGGATGCCAAACAAAGCTGAATGCACTTAACCCCTCTGTCAGAAGCAAGCAGCACCAAAAAACAAGACAAAAGTCACAGGGTCAACATCATTCCTGATACGTTATACACATAATCTAGGTAACACTTTACTTGAAGCAGTCTACATAAGGGTGATGTAACCGTCAGAAAGACATAAGAATGACATGACATGTCATGCACATTAATGACACATCATTGATGTTTATGACTGCTGTCATAATGTGTCATTCAGTTCCAAAAACCGAATGACACATTATGATAACAGTCATAAACATCAGTAATGTGTCATTAATGTGCATGACATGTGTCATGTCATTCTTATGATGGTTACATCTCACCCTTATGTAGACTGCTTCAAGTAAAGTGTTGCCATAATGGATCCTAAATTATTACTGAAGCAGCTCTCACAGGATAAGGACATCACTGGACAGATGCGATAGGCTGTGGTCTGGAGTAGAGTACTGACAGGGCCCAGGTTCTCTCCTCAAAACGGGGCAGGGGCCTCATGTCCATAGCTGGGATTTGTGTCTCATTCAAGCTAATATTAATTAATAATATTCCCCCCTGGGGTGGGATACAGTGTGAGGTAACGGGTCACAGTCACAACATCTTTGCATGATGCTGGCTTTTGGGGGGGGGGGGGGGCTGGGGTGTTGACCTTATTTAGAAATCTGTCCATCGAGACACTTTTTTTGCAGCCTGACACTATGAGATTAAACAACACGCTCAGTGGGTGTCTCTGCTAACAGGGATAAGCAGCTCGGATCTGAGAAGCCATGATCTGAATCCTAGGACATTGTATTCGTTTAAAAACCAGAGGAGACCTTTAACGGGAAACCTTGGATGGGACAACCTGGATTGAACACCTTGGATGGGACACAAGTCCTTTCTGGTGGAAGCTCTGCTTGATAACAACATACAAATGAGGAAATGGTGGGGTCAGAGTGCAGGGTTGACCAACGTCCTGAGGCAAGTGAGTTAAGGGCCCAACGATGGTGTGACTCTCAGACACAGAAGCCGGACTGACTGACCACGCACCACGACACACACTTACTCACGGCATCCCTCCTGCAAGCACCACAGCTTACTAATCGTCTCCGTTTGCAAATACATGGCAGCTGAATTTATGCAGTGCCTTACTTACAGGATTACTTCACCAAAAGCCATGTGACATACACACGAGAAAAAAGTGCCCAACAAAAGCAGGTCTGCTGTCTCCCAGGTCCAAAGTCTCCACAGAAAGGTTTGTGTCAAAATCTACTAAAGAAAAAACACCCGTCTATGTGTGTATGTGTACGTGCAACATGTGCGTGCCTGTGTGTGTGTGCATGCAGGCGTGTGTGTGGGCGATTTCTCACGTAAGCCCACAAAAACCATTCAATCACAAAAAATGCAATAGCCACTGTCAAAAACTACACAGCAAGTATCTTCCCTGCATAGGCAGTCATATACCTGTAGTAAATTACAGCCATTAAAAATTCATGTTTCAGTTATTTACCTGCTTAAAAGCTTTGTTCAAACGTTTCCCTCAAGGATACAACTGTTAGGTTGACATTTACAAAGCCATTTTATATTTCAGTTAACGGGTGCTGTGGAAAAAAATATCCACCAGGTGTGAGTGTTCAGTCAGATCCAAACCTGATTTCTGATAGTTTAAACCTGATGACCATGTGACCAGCTGTAACAGGGCTCTTCACAGACGATCAAGTGTTTGGGCTGAGCGAATCACTGTGGGCCAGGATGGTCAGCTGACTCAGCCACCTGAGGCAGACAATGCCTCCCCCCCCCCCTTCACCCCCCATCATGCAGTTACATTCCGGGCAGCTTTACAGAGGTGAATATTTACAGAAACAGTTTAGGTTCAGGCCCAGCAGACTTTCATTTTTAGGACTCTTGCTAACAAGTTCATCTCCTTTATAACCGATCCTACCCCCATGTGACCTGTTGAGTGAGAGAGGAAGGTGAGTCGGGAACCAGCTGGACCTGGACCCTAACCATAACTCTCCAGAGTCACACGGAGGACGATTCAGGTAGATCTCACAAACAGACTGCATGTCTGGCAGATGTGGCACAGCGGCCTCACACCGCACATCATGCAACACGTTGCCGAGTGACCAGACAGCGCTGCTGCCCTTCTCGACCACCAACGAATGGTTGCCATGTTGGGGTCACATTTCGGCGAGCTCGAAAGCAACATCACAGCCAGTGCCAAGGCTCAGGGGAAGCCAGGGAGACTGCAAGCTCAACTGCATCCACCAGGCTGCACCTAGACAGTGAGGAGCTTCAAAGGTCAGTCAGCTTCTGTCAGCTGGCCCCCCCCCGGCAGCCAAAACAGAACCACAGACCCCCCAGATCAGCGCGACGGCAGCAGTGGTGGCTGCGGCACCTACCTTCTGGGGAGAGCGCTCCACTCACAGACACGACTCATGGGTGAAGGGTGACCTCCTGTCTTGTCTTCCGCGGTGGGGCTCCCTTGTCCTTCAGCGGGGGGACGGAGGCAGGCTGGTGTGTGCCAGGAGACGAGAGCAGCACGCACACCCCCGCACACCCCCACAGCTGAGGAGCATTGTGACGCTTCCCTGGATGTGTCCCTCTCCCCCTCTCTCTCTCTCCCCCTCTCTCTCTCTCCCCCTCTCTCTCTCTCTCCCTCTCTCTCTCTCCCCCTCCCTCACTCCCCCCCTCCATCGCTCTCTCTCACTCTGTCCGTCTCTGCTCTCTCACATTATCTCAACCGACATATAAATCTTTTCTCAGGTGGCCTATTGGCATGGACATCCAAAGCCTTTATATACAGTGTTATATAATCATATTTCACTTTAAATTATAAGTGCAGTTGCTTTCCTCTATTTAAACTAATTTCTGTTTGCTTTGTTGAGATTTTAAATGCACACTTTTTTGGTTTCTGAGGCATACTGGTTTATGTAAAATGTCAAGATGAATGATTTTAAGGAATTTAAATCATCAGTCGGAAATTTAATCAGTCTAATAAGTAAAATGCAATAATGAAAGATTTTAATAGTTTGTGGGATCTGTAAAATAAATACACAAAGCAAAACATACTTCTTGGCAAATTTGTTCTTGATAATTAAGCTTCTTACTTAATGGAAACAATTAAAGTAAATAAATAGTCACTTAGACTACAACACTGCTTCAGGTTGTTGTCTCACACCTCTGGCACCGGGGTTTGAGTCTCTGCCCTGGCTCTACATGTGTGGAGTTTGCATGTTCTCCCCTTGTTGTCATGGGGTTTTTTGTGCAAAAACAGTACAAAAACATGCTGAGGTTTATTGTAGTTGCCAAATTCCACATAAGTGTGCATGTTTGTGTGAATGGTGTGTGAGTGTGCCCTGCAATAGGTTGGTACCCTTTCTGGGTAATTCCCATAGACACTGCACCCCCAGTGACCCTGAAGAGGACAAGCAGTAACAGAAAATGGATGGATGGATGGATGGATGGATAGACTTATACAGTACTCTAGTAATACTATACACCCGACAGTATGCAAATCCAGGATTGAATAATTAAATAAGTTGGATTTTACCTATAATGTTTCTGAATACGAGTTGGTACATAATACTAAATGAAACAATGAAAAACCATGGTGTATTAGACTTAGTTCTACTAATAAATGCATTTAGGTACAAACATGCAAGCTAAATGTGATGTGACTGCGGGATAAACAGGACAATGCAGCACAGGCCCTGGTTTCTATGTTTTTAAGTGCACTTGACGGTTCTTCATACTGGTGCTGCCCAGCCTATGCCAGATCTCTTTTTCATGATAGGCCATCCCCGGTGCTGCCCAGCCTATGCCAGATCTCTTTTTCATGATAACCCACCCCCGGTGCTGCCCAGCCTATGCCAGATCTCTTTTTCATGATAGCCCATCCCCGGTGCTACCCAGCCTATGCCAGATCTCTTTTTCATGATAGCCCATCCCTCGTGCTGCCTGTCCTATGCCAGCTCTCTTTTTCATGATAGCCCATCCCCCGTGCTACCCGACCTATGCCAGCTCTCTTTTTCGTGATAGCCCATCCCTCGTGCTGCCTGTCCTATGCCAGCTCTCTTTTTCATAATAGCCCATCCCCGGTGCTGCCCGTCCTATGCCAGCTCTCTTTTTCATAATAGCCCATCCCTGGTGCTGCCCAGCCTATGCCAGCTCTCTTTTTCATGATAGCCCATTCCTGATGCTGCCCAGCCTACACCAGCTCTCTTTTTTATGACAGCCCACTCCCAGTGGTGCCTAATCTATGTCAGCTCTTTTTTTCATGATAGCCCATCTCTGGTGATATGCAGCCTATGCCAGTTCTCTTTTCCATAACACTCCATACTCGGTGCCAGCCCGGCATATGCCAGTTCTCTTTTTCATGAAAGTTGATCCCCAATGCCACCCCATCCTATGCCAGCTCCCTTTTTTGTGATAGCCCATCCACATGCCACCCCGGCCTATGCCAGCTCTTGATTTCATGATAGCCCATCCCTGGTGCTGTGTGGCCTGTGCCAGCTCTCTTTTTCATGACAGCCCAACCCCCATGCCACTCCAGCCTATGCCAGCTCTCTTTTTCATGATAGCCCATCCCCACTGCTGCCCGGCCTATGCCAGCTCTCTTTTTCATGAAAGCCCATCTCTGGTACCACCCTGGCCTATGCCAGCTCTCTTTATCATGATAGCCCATCTCTCGTGCCACGCTGGCCTATGCCAGCTCTCTTTTTCATGATAGCCCATGCCCGGTGCTGCTTGGCCAATGCCAGATCTCTTTTTCATGATAGCCCATCCCCAGTTCTGCCTGGCCTATGCCAGATCTCTTTTTCATGCCCATTCCCGGTGCTCCCCGGCCTATTCCAGCTCTCTCTTTCATAATAGCCCATCCCTGGTTCTGCCTGGCCTACACCAGCTCTCTTTTTTATGACAGCCCATCCCTGGTGCAGCCCAGCCTATGCCAGCTCTCTTTTTTATGACAACCCATCCCCAGTGGTGCCTAGTCTATGTCAGCTCTTTTTTTTCATGATAGCCCTTCTCTGGTGCAACCCTGGCCTATGCCAGCTGTATTTTACATGACAGTCCATCTCCAGTGATGTGTAGCCTATGCCAGCTCTCTTTTCCATAACACTTCATCCTCGGTGCCACCCTGGCCTATGCCTGTTCTCTGTTTCATGACAGCCGATCCCCAGTGCTGCCCACCCTATGCCAACTCTCTTTTTCATGACAGCCCATCCCCAGTAGTGTCCAGTCTATGCCAGCTTTTTTTTCCCTGATAGCCCATCTCTGGTGACGCCCTGGCCAATGCCAGCTTTCTTTCTCATCACAACCCATGCCTGGTGTCACCCCAGTTTATGCCAGCTCTCTTTTTCATGATAGCCCATCTCTGGTACCACTGGACTATGCCAGCTCTCTTTTTCATGACAGCCCATCTCTTGTGCCACCTTGGCCTATGCCAGCTTTCTTTTTTTTATTCATAATAGCCTACCCCTGGTGCCATCCTTGTGTATGCCAGCTCTCTTTTTCATGACAGCCCATGCATCTCTGGTGCCTCCCTAGCCTATGCTACCTCTCATTCTAAGCGATATGGCCAGAAACTCTCCCTACTGATTTACTGATATATACAGCTGACAAAGCAGCCTGTGCAGTGGAATGTAGCGACACTATCAGACACACACAAAGCCTTGTCTCTTAGGGCGAGTAAACACCGCTGGCTGAGTGGGACATTCCTACCTTTGGTAAACATTTAGCCTGTCTTTAGTTACTGAACTTATACGGATATCCTGTTTAACTTAGCTATAGTATTACTTAAGGGGCGAGATTAACCGGTACAAGGCGGAAAGTACACCAGCTTGAAGTCCAACAGGACAGTAATACAGATCTTAAAGGCATTTTCATGAGCTGTCTTACAGTCATTTTCCTAGAATTCTGTTGCTTTTCTCATGCCTGTGTCTTTATATGTAAGAAGCTAAGGTGGTTTTTACGGGGGTAACGATGCTGCAGCCCTAAGCAATCATAGGGGCAGCCGGGGGTCTCTGATTCCCAGATGATGGCAGGTGAGGCAAACTGGCTGCTGGATCAAATTAGTCACAAGAAGGAGAAGAAAGACAAGCGGTGAGGGGAAAAACAGCCTTCACTGGACATCTGATGATGGGCAGCCACAAGTGGGTGTCTCAGGGCATGGCTGAATGTCGATTTTTGTAGATTTTCCCGAAAAGTGACTTTTTAAATAGCCCACTCAAGAGTATCACACTCGGATCATCTGGCTAAGCAGGGAATCGGTGAGGATACTTCCTGCAGCCAGACGCTTAAAGCAGATGTTTGTGAACGGCTGAGGTGTCTTCTACAGAGAGCAGAAAAAGGAATGAGTGAATAACACCCCACCCCCCATATGACAGGCAGGTCCCACCCACCACGTAACAGGCACTGCCAGCAAGGTGTGGGGTTACTGACTCAGCAAAGGAGGCAGGTGGGACCCCCCCTGGTTCGTCCCACCCCTATTAATCACCCCCACATCGCCACACCTTTCAGTCACATACTCACCCCCCTCTCCCATCTCATTGTCACTGTGGCTGGGGGATCACCAGTCCGTGTCTGAGAGAGAAGATTGATGGTGGCGTGCTGAGAAGAAGCAGGGTACAGATGCCTATTAATAAGTGTCCGTGACAGACTTCAGTAGACCATCGGAAGGTCTTTTAAGTCTGCGGTCTCCAGCCTCGTTTCTCACTCTTGTCACTTCTGCTTTAAAACTCTTGGCACCCTGAGCAGGCTGCTGGCACTTATCCCCACGGTCCTCCAAACAGTTTGTGTCACTGAGCTTGGTCCCCACAGTCTTCCATTAGACAATACTTAAATGGCTCTCCATGAGCCCAGATCTTAATCCTATTTAACATCTATGGAAATATCTAAAAATTGCAGTGTGGAGAGGCCGCCCTTCCAACCTGAGACAGCTTGAGCAGTAGTGGGCCAAACTACCTGTTGGCAAATGCAGACATTTCATTGTGAAATACAGAGATCGCTTGTTGGCAGTGATTGCTGCAAAAGGTGGTGCCACAAAATATTAAGGGTACCATCTTTTTTGTCCGTGCCATTTCCATTTGTGTGTAATTATATAAAATATTTAACTGAATCAATAATCAAAAGCAAAGTCTGATTTGTGTTAAATATGGAATAAACAATAAGGGATGCCATGAAACTTTTGTCAGTTTCAAGTTATTTCAGAGATAGTTGAGTTTTTTTGTTTTTTGTGGAAGGGTACCAACAAATTTGTCCGTGTGTGTGTGTGTGTGTGTGTATTAGGTTTATATTACATTATGGGGACCAAACGTCCCTCACAATATATATATAATTGATTTTCCATTATTTCTTATGGGAAAAATTTGATCAGAACTATATATATATGTGTGTGTGTGTGTGTGTGTAAATAATGTTTTTCATTCTTATTTCATTAAAATACCACAATATTTTCTTTTTCCAGATATTTTTTTTATGTTGCACCGCTGTGACGCATTTGGTCTTCAAATGCAGCCTTAGAAGGATGAGGCCCTGAATTCTGACACAGCCAATGAAGGAAGGGGAGTGGCTCACTGCTGC